TTGACCGTCATCAGTTAGTTGTACTCAATCCCTGGGCTGGCGACCCCCGAGATTCGAACCCACGACATTTGGTCATTGAGTGCAACACTCTTTCATTTGGTATGGCTGGCTAATGATGGGTCATAAACACGAAATAGCCATTCCGGTCTCCCTTGTCTTCGACTATTTCACTTCATTCTATATAACAAGTCGCCAGGCGACTGCCTGCGAGGGCTCTTTATTGAACACCAACACACAACGGGCCGAGCACGTTCCGTAACCAGATTGACGAACGCCCGACTATCAGTTCAACCGTCGTTAGCGACGACATCCAGCGCGTTCTCCGTGTGGCAATTTCCTTTATAGTGATAACAGACTTGCACTGCATCTACCGCACTCTATACCCCTCACCCACCTTGCTCCAGTGGGAAGACAGTGACAAGGTAACTGGAGGTAGACTCGAGCACAGTGGCCGACAAAGCTAGACGACTCGTCTACATGGGCTACACGCGCCTGGTCAACGCAGATACGCACCAGGCTTCCATGAGTACAGGTCGGGTTTATTAGGAGTCGTCCTAACCGACGCATGCAGCCCTAGCGACGCCCTTTCAGGTCATGCTATCGGTCAGCACATACACAAAGATCGCGCGCGCACATGCGGCATTCAAGGAGCCGAGGTCATGAGAGGCTTCCGGGATAGGAATCAACCGCCAGGGATGAATCAAATCAGATTACCAATTGAGGAGCTACTCGCTTGAGGACACAATCGGACTGGCCCGATGTTATAACATTGCTTGCTTAAACACTCGCACTGGGGACACAATAAAGAATTACTTTTCTTGCGACCGTGCCCCTTGTTCTCCTTGGAGGATTAAAACAAAGCATCCGGGGTGGCACAAACCATAGCTCTTGACGAGCATTACAACAGGGTGCCCTCTCAGTCAGAGTACCACAGGGCCCGCATTACAAAGAAGTAACTGCAGCCTGACTCTCCGTCCTGAGAAGGGAACTGAGTCTCCTCGTAATTTGACAGTCTTCCAAGTCATCAGTCTTATCCCGTCGTGAAGAATGCACTCATTTTTCGTGCAAGCCTTACTCTCCCCACCCCAAGTCTGAACTTGGCAATCAATGGGATTAGACACTAGATGATAAATGTTCAATGATCACTAACGGAACTCACTCGGTCCACTCTGCCCTAGGGCTTACTGTCGAGCTTCACCAGTAGCCGCACAACGGCTAGTAGTTTAAGCAGACAGCATTGCCAGCAAAGACAAAGGAGACTGGAATGGCCATTCTTGGCTCATTAGCCGTTGTCAACCCAACCCCAAGTGGTGCACCAGCCGAGGCTCGAATTCGCGTGAATGAGCCCCAGGACAGAGCGAGACAAGTGAGGTCCGTTAGCTGTCCGTGAATAGTCGTTAACGAGTGTCAATATCTCTCGACCTAAACGGCAAGAAAACGAGCTCATGGCTCAGTAGTTAGAGTGTTGGAATTCGTAACGCCGGCGCCAGGCCATACAAACCGTCACGTGATTGCACTCCCTTATCTGTCCCTGGGACGGCCAATCACAGGTGGCATAGGCTGCTATTGGCCAAGCAGTCGACTGAGCGGCCAGTGACTGACTTTCGCTTGAGGTTTATGAATTCATTTCCCCACCACACTAGCAGACAGACGCGCGTGCAGGTTCCGGGACTGCGACACGTCGGGGCTTTAGACGACCACTGAGTTTCTGTAAACAATAAATTACTCGTTCTGGTCTTATCCCTTCTTTTCTTTTACGGAACTGGGCGTGATAATTGTGGTGCTTTGAGCACACACACGGCTCAGACCTCTTAAACTTACAACTAACAGGTCTGCGGTTTCGATCTTCGAGTGGAGCATCACTTGGGGTTGGGTATGACTGGCTGATGGAAAACAATGAGCCAGAAATAGCCAGTCCAGTCTTCCTTGTCCTTGCTGGCAATGCTATCTACAGTTGTCATTATGCTGTAGTACTGCATATAAGTCAGGCAGTTGAATTTATATTCATCAGTTATAAGTAATTATAATGTGTCATTGGAAAAAGTAAGCGTTCGCAAACAGAAAACTTGGATATGAGACGAAGCCGAGCTGTCATCTCTTCAATTCGTGCTTTGCCGCTAAGCGACTTCACCCAGGCTTACCGTCGATGCAAATTAATAAATGATTTCTGTCTAACGTTGGGAACTTACAGTTGAAGGCCATCTTTCACAGCAAACCTTCACTGGTTTTGTGAGGTTACAGTTCGGTGTAGTCTGGTTTAAGCCGTACTTTACGCACTGGCGGTATCAATAATCGATTAGCTACTCAGTTAAGTAAAGTAGTATTGTACCTTTGTCCTAGCACACAGTCCCAACAAGAAAGCACCAGTATTTATGCCTTATTTCCTGTTGAAGAGCTAGTGACCGGAACACCATTCCTTGATAAACCGAAAAAGGATGCACGTCAAGGTCACAGGGCTACTCACCATGCGCCTTATCATGATAAGCTTTGGTCCCAGAACAATACTAAAGCTGAATATATACATGAGGCGGACGAAGAAGGCAAAGAGACTGAAGGCATAGAAGACACGAGCCAGAGTGAAGCGTTCCTCCGTGAGGATGAAGACGGGATGATCGTAGGTGAGGGTACCATCCCATTGCAGGATCACAGAGGCAGGCTGGTCTCTACCAGTCACCTGCTGACCTGCCGGCGGCCTGAGGACTGAGACACAGCTGCCACTGGCATT